GAGTGAGAGAGAGAGAGAGAGAGAGAGAGAGAGAGAGAGAGAGAGAGAGAGAGTGTGTGTGTGTGTGTGTGTGTGTGTGTGTGTCTTCCCAAGGGGATTCTCAATTCTAGTTCCCCTACCTTTTGTAGTCACATCTCCTGCCCCTGGCGAGTGATGAAACTCTAGTCCTGGTTATAAACTTGCAAAGCACCATGGCAGAAGCCCCCAAGCTTATCACTAGCTTTCGGTTCCCTCTTCTTTCCTGAAACCTGGAAATTTCTTTTTCTCTCAAGTTTGGCTTATTAAAACTGTAGTCATATTTTGGACATCTGTATGTGTATGCTTGGGGGAGGTGGGAGGCGAAATCCGTATTAACTCCATCCTGGATGTGTGAGTCAAGGAAGTGTCAAGAGTCCTTATCCTCTGGGAGCATGTCACAGCTTGAGGTCCATGTGTGTAAAAACTTCTACCTGTAACACCTGGATCATTCAAACATTTCGGTGAGCCTGGTGTTTGCTAGGACTACAGTGGGATAAGAATTATAGTTGTCTCTTGAGGCCTAGCCTGCCAGGGACCTCATTTAATACAGGAAGGAACAACTGCTGTGGAGGTAGGAGTTTCAGAAGACAACACCTGGGCTAAAAGTTGGAGACTTCAGGATGAAGACAAAGATGGGACAAAGGGGCTGGGATGGAAGCAGACAGATGCAAGGACAGGTTTGTAAGAGCAGCACATGGTTTAGAAGGACTGGCAAAAGACAAAAAAGTGAAGAATAGTTTGTAGCCAGAATGCAAAGGCTTTCAAAAGTTCCTCTGAAGGAATGTGTATTTTAGCCTAATTGTTGCAAGGGAAAATCTTAAAAGATTAAGGTGATACACAAAAAAGCTAGGCTGGCTTAAGAGAAACACAACTTTGGTGGCTATAGATAGGACAGATAAAAAGAAGCCAGAAAAATAGGGAAACTACATGAACAGCTACTGTAAGAATCTAGGAAAAACCCAAAGACATTTTGGCCTAAAATATTATGTAGGGATATTAAGAAAGGAATGAGTTAGACATTTTGGAGACACAGCAAGACAGAGGCCTGTATGTTGTCAAATTCAGCAAAAACAAAAACAAAAAAACCCAAACCAAACCAACAGCAAAAAAAAGGAACTCCAATTAAATTTGAGCTTTGGAAAAACAATGAAAAATTTCTAGTATGTCTCATGCAATATCTGGGTCATACTAGATGTCCTGTATTTTATCTGGCAATCCTACCTGTGGCCAATTATCCATGAATATTGTAGTGGGAAATGAAGAACAGGGAGGGAAAATGCCTAGGCATGAACAAAAGGGTTCAGCCCGAATGAACAAGGCTTGGTTGGCAAAGTGGAGACGCGTGCTTACCTGCATTGTAACTAGTCTGTCATCCACCATCACCTCCTTTGTCAGAAAGTCTGCTCCTATTGTAGCTTTGTACTGATTACTGAATTTCTTGTTCACATACTGGTTCATGAGTGATGTCTTACCAACTCTGAAATTGGAGAAAAACCACAAGTATAGGTCAACTAGCAAGGGATGGAAAACAGATTCTGATCCTTGCAGCTCTGAAGATACCTGCCTATCTTAAAGGAGAACAAGGAACTGTAATCACAACAGAGAGCCGTGCCAGCCAACTGCCCAGTGTTACTCATTCGAGGTTGTATTTTCTCCTGGGATAAAAATACGGGGTACAGATATGGGCCAGATGTTGAAAAGCTGCTTTTAAGTTTGTACAAGCAAGTCAGATGGTAGAACCTAGTATTATCTTTTTCCTTCCAGAAAGATGTCAGCAAATACTCTCCTTCTAAAAGGAGCTACAGCAATAAGATCACTCCACCACTCCAAAAATATCTCTGCTGTCTTGGGTGTCTCTCCATTTAGGGGTTGCTATTCAGTCTAAGAAAGTAATAGCACAGGAGGAAGTCAATGGCTGCGAGCAGACATACACACCAGTCAGCCACCTGCTGCTTCAAAGTTTAAAATCTGAAGTGGAGAAAGCATCAATATTCCACCAAATCAGAATCTACCTCAGAGTAAGCTCCTCCAGAGATGTTTTCCAATAAGAAAACTCAGCAAGAGACAATGTGTGGATTTTTTTTTTGGTGATTAGATTAGCTGGGGCAGGTTGATGATAATACAAAAGGCTTCTTCAAAGTCAACGGGAATGCCTTCCTTTCCCACTGAGAAACACACTCATTTTCATATGCAGAGAACCTGGTAGTACAGTTATGGCTTAAGGCAGTGTTCTCCAACCCAGGCCACCTGGATCTGAATTTTCAGAGGAGGCCAGGAGATCTGTAATCAAATAAAGACTTGGTGATTCTTTCCAGGCAAGTTTGGGCCTAAAACAATACCTTTCAATCCTGACACCACACTAGAGTCACCAGGAGTAAGGGAGGCAAGGGAGGGACAGAGACAGAGAGACAGAGAGATGTGTGTATTTAAGTACTGCTAACTAGGCCCAACCCACTGGTATGGAAAACTTTTAAAAGGCTCCTCAGGGGGCGCCTGGGTGGCTCAGTCACTTGGCGTCTGCCTTCGGCTCAGATCATGATCCCAGCGTCCTGGGATCAAGCCTCACGTTGGGCTCCCTGCTCCGCGGGAAGCCTGCTTCTCCCTTTCCCACTCCCCCTGCTTGTGTTCCCTCTCTTGCTATGTCTCTCTGGCAAATAAATAAATAAAATCTTTAAAAAAAGAAATAAATAAAAGGCTCCTCAGGCAATTAAAAAAGCCAGCCAGGGTGGAAAAATCACTGCCTTTTTAAAGGGCAGGGAGCTCTGGGATAAGGAGGCATACCTGCATTTATTATTATTATTTTTAAAAAAAAATACAGGGGCGCCTGGGTGGCTCAGTCGTTAAGCGTCTGCCTTCGGCTCAGGTCATGATCCTGGGGTCCTGGTATCGAGCCCCGCATCGAGCTCCCTGCTCAGCGGGAAGCCTGCTTCTCCCCCCTCTCCCACTCCCCCTGCTTGTTGTTCCTGCTCTCACTCTCTCTGTCAAATTAATAAAAATCTTAAAAAAAAAATACATAGCTTCCAGTTGGTCTAAGGTTTCACAGGTCACTTCAGATGCTGAGTCTGAAAAGCCTCCCACAGAATCCTAACAGCTACTAAAGAGCTGGTCACTTACTTAGTGGCAGATCTAGGATCAGAATCCAGTTATCCAGTCCCAGGTTCTTTTGAATATAGACCTGAATCTGGCACAGCGGTGGGAGGATACCGCACAGCACACCCCAAACCCACAACTGGTAGGCATGAGGTCAGTGGCAACAAATCTACATAAACCGAACTCCCTTGTCTAACCAGCTCAGAAAAAAGGGATTCCATGAAACTATTCTTGAGTTTAAATAGCTACCCCTTCCCCCAAATCATGCCAAAGATCAGGGAACGAAGGGTTACAGAACAAGAGATCATTCACATTTCTGCTGTGCCCGAAAGAGCAGGAGACCTAGGGCCCTACTGCCACCACTATTAGAGAAGGAACTGCCAAATGTCAGCATGGAGGGCACAGGCTTCAAGGAGGTCACGTTTATTAATCCAAGCCAACATGTTAGTTCAAACGGTGAGAACCACTTACCCAGAATCTCCCAGGATGATAACCTTCAGCAACACTTTCTTCCTAGAGGTCATCCTTCAAACTAAAAGGAAAAAGGAGAAAGCACTGTGAGTGTGACAGAAATACCAAGGCTAACCACATCCCCCAGTGTAAACATCGAAACAGCCCCGGGAGCACTGAGTCTTGGGCCTTTCTGTTGGCTATTTCCCTGCCATCCAGGGGGACTGGGCAGAGAGCAGTATCAGTCATTAGAACTCTGGACCCAAGCTGGGCAAAATAGTGAGTCAGGCTCATCCTGCCCCTCGGGGTAGTCCAAAAGAACGGATTCTCCCTCTTGGATGTTGGATCAGTGTGGATTAATGCTCCAACTTCCTCAACAGCTCAGTCCTGCTTCATTCAAGTCTCTGCTCACATTGCACTTCCTCAGAGAGGTGATC